CTTTCTTCACTATGAAGCAGACGTCATTTTTTGATCACAGAGGAGGAGCTAAGTTTTGAAGATGAAAGGCGGAGATTCCATACCGTTGTCCAAAGATTCCAGTATAAGTGTCGGCCACATAAGCTGAGAGCACAGTCAAAGGGAAGAACATAAATGTGAGCACACCTTCCCAAACCTACAAATTCGTAAATTAGCCTGTAATTGGCAAGTGGCCAAGTTATACCTCTACTATGTTTGGGCTAAAGAAGCAAAGAATGAGATAAAGCCAAATGTAGGCAAATGTCGACCAGATCACTGTTACCCAAAACACATGCACATGCTGAATTCGACGAGTTTCCGTACTTGGAATCACCTGGAAAATGGGTTTTGAGAACAATTCGAAAAAAGGAGGACCTGAGAGTAAATGTAAGCTACCTTAATACAAACTGCTATAATGATGAATAAATTGAACGCTGCTGATCCAACAATGGTGCTCGGACCCAAATCACCTAGAAGAGAGTAGCGATTATAACATAGGTAACTTAGGCAAACACCAGAGAAAAAAGATTACCCGCTTCAAAGTTGTTGCCAAATATTTCAATAACAGAAAGTAGAATTTCTGGAGCTGACGATCCTGCAAGAAAACATTTAACTCCTATAATAATCGTTTCGTTCTGATCGGCAGTACCCAATCTTTACCTAAGCTAAAAAGGCACTTTAGTTTAGAGGTAGGTACAAAAAGCTAAGATTAAAGCTAAAATCAGAGAGGAATTTCCGATGTTCGGCACAATGAGAATATGTTTTCGGGAATAAATTCTCCGCGGCACATAATTTAGGACATCCTTATTGAGACAACTTGGTTGGCAATGCGAAAAGGGTCCAAATCGAAGAGGATGTAACAGAACGATAACAGGTAGCGAAGCAATATTTCAACTTTTGTTCTCTTGAATTGGAAGATCCCTCTTTGTATCCTTGCTATGCCCCAGACTCAGCACAATCTCTGCTTTTCCTTCTAAAACCTCAACTTCCAGTTCTGTCACTTTTGTGCCGAACCCTGATCCCAAAAAATAAGCTGAGTAAGTCTCACCCAATGCCATAAGTGTCAAATTGCTGACAGTTTCATTCCATACCCGAATAAGTATTGTATAGGGTTCGCCTGTGATCTTTTTCATTTTCACTTCTCTCTCTTGTGATGTGATCACTTCAATGGCAGCCATAAACCTGTAAGTAAGTAAGACGAGTTTTTTAAGTCAAGAAAGCAAGTATGAGTCAGTTTTGAATGTTCCCAGGAACTTTTATGTGCCTATGAATGACTGAAGACTCTCATTGAAAGGTAAATGTTTGTTTTGGAAATCGGCCAATTTGAGACTGAAAAATTGTTTAGCTCATTTTATGTAGAACC